TATTTAATCAAAAGACTACTACCCTGTCCGATCTATAACTGACTCGCTATGTTACATTGGGCAAGTTTCTTCACATCTCTGGGCCAAGATAGGAAGCCATGATGGTGAGCTCAGGCCTGAGCAGAGGGCAATCCAGGACAGGAAGTAGACTTGGTTGTAGGTCTCCCACAACCCCCACCTTCCCCATCTTGTGTGCCAGACCCTAAGGCTTTGCATGTAGTATCTCTCACAATCTCTACTGCAAGCCCCTTGTCCCTATTTTGCAACCTCAGGTGCAAACGGAGGCCCAGAGAATTGAGTTGGTGGGGGTGGGCCTTCCTTTGGCCAAATAAGAGGTTGTTTATTTGGTGTCTGCCTCACATCCCTCCTGCAGCCTACTTACCTCTCCCTTCCTGAGGTTTGTGCAAGGCTACCCTGGGCAGGGCTAACTCTGGGTAAGGCTGATGGCAGACAGGCCAGGGCAAGTCTAGGGAGACTCCAGAAATAGCATGGGGCTTGGTGTGTCCCTAAAGGATGCCCAGCTGGGTGTCTCTGACCTGGACAGCTGAGTTGAAATTGAGCTGGGGCTACCCTACTGGCTAGCCCCCTCCCCACTGGCTGGAGCCTTCCTGATCCTCCTCCGGGGCAGGTGAGGGCCTCCCCGTCTCTACCCAAGTCTGGATACTAAATAGAAGGAGAGAAGCAGGTGGAAGGAAGGAGTGAGGGTGAGGGTGTAGAATGTCCTGAAAATTATAAACATCAGAAACCATACCTCCTGCCCTCTCAACAAAGAATGAAAATCACTAATGCATCTTGAGCACTCACTGTGTGCTAAGTACTTTATAAGTATGAACTCATTTAATTTCCTCAATATTATGATGTAAGGTAGTTACCACTATTATCATTTCCAACTTACCAAGGGAAACCGAGGACAAGAGAGCTTTAGTAACTTGTACAAGTTCACCTAGAGCTGGAATTCGAATCAATGGAGTCTAGCTCCAGACTCTATACTCCCTCTTTTTCTTTTTGCTTTTGGTAAAATGTATATAAAATAAAATTACTATTTTAACCATTTTAAGTGTGCAGTTCCATGATGTTAAGTACATTCACATTGTTGTACAACCATCACAACCATCTCTTTCTAGAACTTTTTCATCTTCCCAAATGGAAACTCCATACCCACGAAACGCTAACTCCCTATACTCCCTTCCCCCAGCCCCTAGTATCCACAAGTCTACTGTCTCTATGAATTTGACTACGCTAGGTATCTGATATAAGTGTAATCATACAATTTTTGTTCTTTTGTGACTCGCTTATTTCACTTAGCATAATGCCTTCAAGTTTCACTTATGTTGTAACATGTATCAGAATTTCCTTTCTTTAAGGCTCAATAATATTCCATTGTATGTTTGTACCACATTCACTTATTCATCCGTTAATGGACTCTTGGTTTATTCCCACCTTTTTGCTATTGTGAATAATGCTACTGTGAACATGGGTATACAAATATTTGGTCAAGTCCCTGCTTTCAGTTATTTTGGGTATATACCCAGAAGTGGAATTCCTGAATCTTATGGTAATTCCATTAAAAATTTTTTGCATAACTGCCATACTCTTTCCATGGTGGCTGTACCATTTTATATTCCCAACAGTGTACAAGGGTTCTAATTTTTCCATACCCTCACCAACACTTGTTATTATTTATTTATTTATTTGATAATGCCCATCTTAATGACATGGTATCTCATTGTGGTTTTGATTTATATGTCCCTAACGATTAGTAATGTTGAGTATTTTTTCATGTGCTTATTTTCCATTTGCAAATCTTCTTTGGAGAAATGTCTATTCAAGTGACTCTTGAATGTTCCCTGAGAAGCGGAACTTCACAGCTCACACTTTGGTGGCATTTGTCATGCATAGGCCTCATGCTGTCAAGAACCCTGTTTTACAGTTGAGAAAACCAAGGCATGGAGAAGTTGAGTATCTTACCCAAGGTCTCATAGCTGATCACTGGTGGAGCTGGGATTTGAACCCAGCAAGGTCAATTTCACAGTCCATGCTACAGTGGTGGCCAGGGAGATAGAGTGGAAAAGGGCATAGCGGTGCTAATGTGTACAGAAGTTTAGATGTGGCATCTGGAGGTTTGGAGACAGAACAGGGCTCAGCAGGAGGTAGCTGGAGCCCAGCTTAGAGGGGTGTGACTTGAGGCTGGAGGAGGAGTGGAGCAGGTTGGGGAAGGCCTGGGGCAGGATCAGGGGTTGGGAGGAGGCTTGGTGCTAAGGGGCCTTGGCTTTTGAGGTGGCCTAATTCCAGTCCTTCTACTTGGTCAGTAGTGTCCCCTCTTTTGTTTGGTCCCTGGAGGAAGAAAGTATGGAAGAGCATGGTAGAGTTCCCAGCCCAGTGGGGAGATAGGAAACAAGTGACAGATAAGCGAATATCTGAAATGACAGGGTGTGATGAATGCTTGGAAGGGAACACATCGGGTGAGATAGTGGGCAGGAGCCTCAGAGTATTTAGGGAGGCCTCTCTGAGTAGGTGACATTTGAAATGAGACCTGAAGGAGGTGAGGGAAGGGGTTCCAGGCAGGAAACAGATAGTACAAAGGCCCTGAGGCAGGACAGATGGTGTTTCAGGAACAGCAGAGAGGGCTATGTGGCTAGAACAGAAAAGGTTGGAGATGAGGTGGGAGAGGAGGGTAGGGGCTGGATCCTGGAGGGTCAGAAGGCTGAGTGGAGAGTCTGGATTTTATTTTAAAGTGTTGGGGAGCCACAATGGTGAGACCTGGTTTCTGTTGGGAAAATATTGTCATCATTGCCCCCATTTTGTAACTGAGGAAACTGAGATCCAGAACCATAGCCAGGGAGTGCTATCTGGCTGATCTCCCTCTGGAGTCAAGAAAGGGAGGCTGTAGATTCCTTAGGAATCCCTTGGTGAGTGGCCAAAGCCCAACACTGGAAACTTGATCCCATGTTTCCCTCCCTGCCCTATGCCTGTATTCAGATCTTGGCTCTGCCATTTATCAGCTGTGTGACTTCTGGCAAGTGGCCCCAACTCTCTGTGCCTCAGTTTTCTCAACTATTAAGTAGGCATAATAGTAGTACCTACCTCAAAGATTGGGTGTGAGGGTTAAATGAGTTAACATATATAAAGATCTTAGAACATGCCAGGTACAAAGAAAGCACTCAAGAGTTCTTACCTATTTTATTATGAAAATTGTTATTGTTGCTTTACTTGTACTACTCTTAGTGCCTAACAGAGTCTCCGCCTCCCCGTTCCCCCAACCCCTGCCCATTGTTGCCTCAGGTGGGGACCCAGCAGGCCACTGTGGAGAATGATGGTCTTGTAGCCTACCTCATTCCCATAAAATCAGGCCCCAGGGCCTGGAGGAGGCCTCAAGGTTGACTCACTCCCAGGGGGAAGAGAGCTGTTCTGAGTCACTTCCTGTTTCCTCATGCCCTCCATCCCAATCCTGATGTAGCCCCCACCAGACGCTGACATGGAAGTGGGCCCTCTTCAGCCTCTCTAGGGTCTAAAGCTGGGAGTGCTTCCTTCTCTGGGCCTCAGGATCCTGGTGGAAACTGACCTAATCAAATGTGCCACCTGAAGTAACATACCAAGGGTTGGGGTGGCAGAGGAGACAATCAGCATCCTCTTGGGGATTCTCTCCTCATAAATGGGGATTAAATAGTTCCTCTCTTGGAGGCGGGAGTCCAGAGATTGAAATAAGTACAGAGCCTGGCACTTAAAAATCGTAGGTATTATTATTACTATTATTGCTGTTGTTACTAATGTTTACAGCTTGCTCAAAGCTTCTACAGGCACTCTCAGGCCCTAAGTACTCACACTGACCTGGCCTGGAAGGTAGGATGCTTTTCACGTGACAGAGTAGAGGGCCAGAGAAGTTCAGCAAGCTGCTCAGGGACACACAGCTAGAAAGCAGTGGCATTAAGGCTTGGTTAGGAGGGAAAGTGCTCAGTTTGGATTCCTCAGGGTGACTTTGGTTAACTGACCCAGCCTGTCCCAGCCTCAGTATTCCATTAGTCAAGGGATAATAATAGAGCTTACCTCATAGGGGTCGTTGGGAATATTAAAATGGATTAATTAATACCAGGAAAAGCACTTTCTCATGCCTGACACAGTGACCATTAACTGGTAGTCATTGTGCCTGTGAGGGACATGGACTCAGTTTTCCCATCTCCAAGATGGGTGCACTTGCCAGAGTGGGCCACGGGGACTCCATGCACCAGATGTGGCGAGTGCGGCTGTGGAATGGAACCTGTGGGGGGTGGGGCAGAGGGCTGGGACAGGGTCTTGGCGTTGTTGTGCCGACTGCCAGCTCATCTGGGCTCGGGTGCTGGCTGCTGCCTTATTTTCGTTCTTTTCAGGTAATACCTGGGCCAGCGGGTTCACCTGCCTGCTGCCGGCCGCCGGAAATTACGCAAACGCGTGTTACCTGAGCCCCAGGTGGGCCGGGCCAGAGGAGTTCAGCGTAGCGGCGCGGGCGCGGCCAGGTATGTGCGGGCCCGGGTCAGGGGCGCCTGGCCTGGTTGGGGGGCGGCCTGGGCACCCCTCCTTCCCCGGGGAGGCGGGGACGGGGTAGGGGCTCACCTTCCAGCCTGAATGAGACCGCATGAGTATTGCTGTCAGCCCCTCATTTAGGGGCCAAGCCAACGCGGGCTCAGAGAGGGGCGGCGAGCAGCCAAAATCACACAGCGTAACGCCAGGCTTGCGGCCTCCTCTGCGCTTGGGAGTCCCCAAGATTGCCCCGAAGTGGAGAAGGGCAGAAAGCAGACCGGTAATCCGAGCCGCCCTTACTCCCTCTCAGCCTCCAGAAGCTGCCTCCAGGGAAGCCGGTGGGGAGGGGCAAGGTGGGACTGCAGGCCCTCGGGATGCCAAAGAGAAAGGCCCAACGGGAAAGGGCCCCCGCATTTGGGGCCATTTGTGGGCAGCGTTTGAAATTCGTGGGTGGGGCATTGGGTGATGAAAAGAGGCTTCAGAGACAGAGAGGACGAATCCCACCTGGGGACTGGGACCCTGGTTTCAACTCGCAGAAGCTGCCGCACCTCCGTTTGTCCACCTTGAAATGGAGCTTGTTTAGATCAGCTGCCCGATTAAGCCTCTATCCTGTGCCTCTTTTGTCCACGGCCCCGGCTCAGACAGACCCTTCCGGAGAGTGCTTAGAGACCCCTGCCAGGGGCACGGTCTGCGGAGTTGTGTCAAAGTCCTAAGATAAACAAGGAGCCCTTTTCATGGAGCGCTGCCTTTTGCCAGGTGCTGAAGAATATCCTCGACCTGTTTTCTCTCTCCATCCTTTCGATGACCTGGAGGCTCAGGGAGGTCTATTTTTAACAGCATTTCACAGATAAGGAAACGGAATCTGGAAGAGGAGCGGCTGCTTGTACAAGGCGCACAGCGGGCGGGTGGGCGAGCCCCAGGCAGGTGGGCCAGAGGCTCCAAAACCCGGCACCGCTCCTCACATCTGTCTCGGGAGACCCTGGGACCTGCAGGTCGGGCCAGAGGGGTTAGGGGCCCGACCTGGGGGTGCGCGGGGCTTTTGCCCTGGCCCTGCCCATCTGACCTTCTTCCTCTCAGTTTCCCCGGATGGTGCCTGGGAGGGAACAACCTCTGTCAACGGGTTGGACTGGTTTGGGAGGCGGCGGCCCCGGGGGTGTGGCAGAGTCTAGCTACCTCGATAAGGCTCAGCAGGACTGCCTTTCCTGCCAGACCCTTCCCTCCTGAGGTCTCCTGGGGGTCGGCTCTGAATGGGGCTGCCTTCCTTTCCCACCTCCTCCATCACTTCTACCTTTAGAGCAGCTCTGGCTCTTGTCCAGTAGCCCCCAAGTTTCTGTTCTCAACTTGCCATTGCAGCAGAGGTCTCAAACTGGGGCTAGGGGCCAGATAGATGGAGGGGAGGGTATGGCAGGTATGTTTGCAAACATGTTTTGTTTGCCCCATACATGTAGTGTTTTTAAAATTATTATTACTGAATATGCTAACATTTAAGAATCTAGAGTTTTCCTGCTCTTCTGGATTTGCAGCTTCCTAGAATATTCTACACTTACTACCTTGGACCCATTGCCTGCAGTAGGCTGGGTGTGCCCTTCTCCAATTTATCCCAGGTCTGCCCATTCACGTTTGGCCCCCATAGGCATTTCAAATCAATAAAAATATGTTGAATACTTATTATGTGTTAAGAGCAATATCTTGAAACTGAGATACAGTGAACAAACCAGACACCTCCCCCTCGCCCCCCACCGGGGAGCTGATATTTTAGAGGAATGGGAACAACAAAGAGTAAAACTACTATAAACATAGTAGATGAGTGAATTATTTATCTGCTCTGGGACCTAGGTTGGTCACTTCTCTGAGTCTGTTTCTCCACCTGTAAAATGAGGACAGGGATCCATCTCAAGGGCTTGTTGGAAGATTACAGGAGAGGATGGTGTCAAATGTCTAGCACACAGTAGAGATCTCTGCCTCCCCACCCCAATCTAGATGCTCCCTACTGGAATTCCAGATTTCTAGGTGGGACTCTCCAGGATAGCTTTCTGCTTATGGATGGAGATGCGCTAATCTGTGCTGCCTATATTAGTGACCACTAGCCTCAATGTGGCTATCAAGCACTTGAAATGTGGCTAGTGTGATTCAGAAACTGAATTGTAAGTTTTTATTTAATTTGAATTTAAAGCTAAGTTTGTGGCTAGTGGCTATTAAATTAGACAACACAGCTCTAGATGGCCTGTACTACAAGTCCTCTTGGGGATGAAGTCTTCCTTCCCCAGTTAATACAAATGAGAAAGTTCAGGACTTGGTCTACAGGATTTTTTCTGGCCCATCTCCAGGGAGACTTGCAGGGGCACTTTGTGGCCCCAGCCCTTCCTTGGAGAAAGGGACAGGGGTGGCCTGGTGCCTGGGGCACCAGTCCCTGATGCCTTGGTGACCATGTGGATAGATGGGCACCCAATCCCATATTATGGCTTCTAGCAGATCCAGAGTCTGCCCCCAAACAAGGCTGTGTGATCTTGGGCGTTTTCGGCCGCTCTCGGAGCAGCATAGCTGAGGGCTGATGTTTCCCTGTGACAGGCATCCATGGATCACTGTGGGCCTGGCATAGGAGACCCATACTGGAAGCTGATGGTGTCTGGACTCCACTGGGGTGGGGGTGGTGATTTTCTACACTCCTCCTCCACAAAGCTGTGCTGCTGTGCCTGGGGCCTGGCATGTCTAAACGGGTGGATGGCACAGGGCAGCTTCCTGCCATGGTGGATGAGGGATTGAGGTGGTACCAGATTCCATGTGGGCAATCAGAGTGGAATTGGAGCCTTTTCTCTTGGTCACTTAACCCTAAGATCCCTGTACCAGCATCTCCTTGCTTGGAGGCAAGGAACAGAGCTACCAACTTGCTGAATTAGATTAATTAAGTTTGTTTCCTCCCTGGGTTTCAGTTTCCCTGTCTGTAAAGTGGAGCTGTTGAGAGGACCCACTGAAGTTGAGCCACCTGGTGCCCAGCACACAGCTCGGAGCCCGCTTTGCTTCCTTTAAAGTGCCTTGCCCTGTCTTCCGCTCAGGCTGCTCGTGTCTTTCTTTGACACCTTTTTTTCTCTGCCTTAGCTGAGCTGGGTCCTCGAAGGGGCGGGGATGTGAGCAGAGCCACAAGCCCTTCGGCTGGCGCTTTCTGCCTTCTGATTGGCTCCCTGTGAATCAGGGGCGTGGCCTTCACTTTTAATAGGAAGGGCGTCTTCAGCTTCTTCCAGTCTTTGCTGAGCCTTTGTCTGAGAGTGTTCAGCTCCTCTCTTTCTTTCCTCCTCTGCAGCCGTTGCCTGCGTCCAGCTGCCAACTTTCTGCCTGGATCTCTGTCTCCTCATTTCTCCAGTCTCCTCATACAGAAGCCTTTGGGGTATGTAACAGCCATGCCTGTGGACACACTGTCTCCCGGAGCCAGGGACACCCCTTCCCTACCTTTCCGCCTGCGGACCAAGGTCCCGGGCTATCTGCTACGGAGACCAGCAGATGGTGGAGCTCGGAAACCTAGTGCTGTGGAGCGCCTGGAGGCAGACAAGGCCAAGTATGTCAAGAGCCTGCATGTGGCCAACACACGTCAGGAACCTGTGCAACCCCTGCTGTCCAAGCAGCCACTCTTCAGCCCCGGGACTCGCCGCACAGTGCTCACTTCTAGCCGTCGAGCCCTGCCTGGCCCTGGCCGACGGCCCCAACTGGACCTGGACATCCTTAGCAGCCTCATCGACTTGTGTGATAGTCCTGTGTCTCCTGCCGAGGCCAGCCGTACCACTGGACGGGCAGAGGGAGCTCTCCAGGCCTCCCCAGCCACCCCTCCACGCCCACCGCCCAGTACAACTGCAGTCCGCCGAGTGGATGTCCGTCCCCTACCGGCCTCACCTGCCCAGCCCTGCCCATCACCAGGCATTGCTACCGCCTCCAGTCCTGCCCGGCCCTCTGGTTTGCAACGCTCCAAGTCGGACCTGAGTGAGCGTTTCTCACGGGCAGCGGCTGACTTGGAGCGATTTTTTAACTTCTGTGGCCTGGACCCAGAGGAGGCACGGGGCTTGGGTGTGGCCCACCTGGCACGGGCCAGCTCAGACATCGTGTCCCTGGCAGGGCCCAGTGCTGGGCCAGGCAGCTCCGAGGGGGAATGTTCCCGTCGCAGCTCTGCCACTGTTGAGGAGCGGGCCCGGGAGCGCATCCCCTATGGTGTGTCCGTGGTGGAGCGCAACGCCCGTGTGATCAAGTGGCTGTATGGGTTGCGGCAAGCACGGGAGACCCCAGCGGCTGAGGGCTAGTCCTTCACTGGACTCAGCACTCTTCACAGGACAGATCTCAGAGAGGCAACTGGCCCCTAGGCCCTTCCTGCATCCATTCCCTGGTTTGGGGTAGACTAGAGGCTACTGCCTGTGTGAATTTGGTATGGAGGCAAAGCCTCAGAGGCTGGACCAGGATGGATCTGGCAAGGACTGACCTTGGAGAGAGTTGCCTCTTGACCTTGAACCACTCCCTACTCCTCATATGTAGGGGTTTTTCAGCATGACTGTACCTCTGCTTGGTTCCTCTCATGGGTTTGGGTATTTGGCCCTCCCCACTGAGAATGAAGGGCCAAGGATCTCACCAGGTCTGTCTACCCAGTAGTTCTATTTCTTTCTTCCTTCTTTGGCCTCTGTCCTTTGCTGACTTCCTCTTCCTTACCCAGTGGGCCCTAGTTCCCTGGGAACTCACCTTGGGGTGGGGAAAGGGAAGAGTGGTCTATGCACTGTTCTTCCCAGGTCTTGACAGCCTGGCCTAGGTGGGTAGACTACTGGAGGGACTGGTAGGAGTTTGCACTGCTCTCTCTGACTTACCTCCCTTTGATTAATAAACACAAATGCTTGTTTTTCAAGGCTTGGGTCATCAGACTCTTCTATGTTCATAATGGGAAGAGATGGGAAAAGTCTTGGGGTGGCACCTTCCAAACCTAGTAATTGTTCACCTGAGGATCTCGTGGGGGCATGAGGACAGTGGTTGTTCTGGCCTGAGGGATCCTCACAACCCCTCTGGGAGACCAGTAGGCCTCTTTCATAGAGGAGGAAACTGAGTCCAGTCACCAAATGAGTCGGGATAGAGCTGGGACTGGGGCCTTTCCCCTGAGTCAGGAAGGGGAACTGCAGGGGAAAGACTGACTAGGTCATGGACCCTCCTGATCATGAGTGTTCTGATCTCCCCAACCCCCAGCCTAGTTCCCAAGGGGGTAGGAAGCTCAGAGAGGGCAAACCCTGAACTTGAGGTCACAGACCATAGAGTGGGGGGTTGGAAGTCTGAGTTCTTTGAGGAAGAGGTACTTGGGGTGGACAGCACAAAATGAGTGGACTTGCCTCCAAATCAGGGCGACCCTGGACAAGGCAGTCTCCCTCTCTGGGCCTCAGTGGATGGGTTGGACAGCACAGTCCTCTTTGGGCTGGGGGAAGGGGAAGGAGATGGTTGACACTGGGCTTTGAGGTCTCAACTCCTTCGCATCTCCTTCCAGGTTAGTTACCTGCTACGAGACCCTACTTTGGCTGGTGGAGCAGCCAGTACTAGGGCTGGGGACACAAAGGGTGAAAGCCTGGGTGGCCTCTGCTGGCTCCTGGGTTTGGAGGGGGAAGGGCTGGGTGGTGTTTCCTTTCTGAAGGCTGCCTTGGCTGCAGCACTCAGAAACAGGAAGCCCTAATGGGGGCCCTGGTGACAGGTTTGATGTAGGTTTTATTTTAAGCATAAAGAGGAGATTTCCGTTGGGCTGTTGACAAACATCCAGGTCAGCCCAGCTGTCTGTCTGTCTGACAGTCTACAACCAGCCCCCAGGGGATTGGGCCAGGCCTAGACAGTTCAGGAAAAAAAGGTGAAATTGGGTTATAGAATAGGATGCTATTTGAGCCCATGATAATGAAATTCACCCCTTCGTGATACAGGTGAGGCACAGAGAGGGTGATGACCTGTGCACTGGCACCCAGGAGCTGGGCCTCCTGGTCCCCATGTTAAAGGAGTGATAGGGTCAGAAGGATAATCTGGGTAGGCTCTGCAGAGGTGGTGTCCTCTGAGGTGTCGAAGACCAGCCCTTCTGGGCAACCTGACCAGAATTCTATGCTAAGTGTTGCTCCTTTCCGAGACCTGCCAGCCTGCAGAAACAAGAAGGTAGATGTGTTGGCCGCATTTGACATGTGAAAAAATTGAGGTTCAGGACATAGGACTGATGGGTGATGGGCTGGAAGGCCCTCTGTTCCTGGAGGAGTCTTAAGTGCTGGGCTCAGATCCTTCACACTCGTCCCATCATTGAATCCTCAAGGTGATCTTTTGAGGGTCACTTTAGAAAATCTTTTGTCTTAGAGCAGGAGGGGTAGTGGCTTGTGGGCCGTCCCAGAGCAGATCTGCCCTCCAGCTTGGGGTCATACCCTGGACTGTAGACACCCCAAACTCAGCAGCACTCTGGCTCCCTTGTTATCCGGACACATGCCTCACCTCTTCCTCATCCTGGTGAACTTTCCTCCTGGGTACTTTATTGAGCATCTATCTACTGGATGCCTAGTCAGTCAAGGGCCCTGCCCTAGTCTTGGGGTAAGGAGAGGATAAGCAGGTAAGCAGGAAGCACATAGTCATATAATGTGGAGCAGATATGTTTAGGGACTTCAGCCCGAAGATCAGAGCTGTTCCAGGAGCAGGGCTTGGGGTAGCAGAGAAGGGTATTGGTAGGATCTGTTGGAAAGAGAGCAGGGAGGCATTCTTAAAAGTGAGGATGGTTCCAGTCTGAGCCTTGACTTCTCCAAAAGAAGTTTCCTCATTCAGAAGGGCTTCCCCTCTGGCAGGATTTTGCAGTTTACCACAATCTCATGTGGGGATCTGTGGACCGAGTGGCTGGGGGCTTCTGCCACTCCCCCTTACCAGCCTGCCAGCCTCTGGGATCTGTAGAACAGCCCCTCTATTGTTCTGCTTCCAGTTGGAGTATGAGGGGCAGTGAGTGGCAGCCTCTGTGTTTCAGCCCCTCTGAGGGCCTGCAGCTGCTGCCCTGTCCCCTGGGGCTGCCTGGCCCCTATAGCAGCTCTCTCAGGCCAGACTGGCCCCAGCTGCCTAGGCCCTAATTAGGCAGAGATGAGATCTGCCCCCTGATCTGTTTCCCACTAGCTAATTATATACATGCGGGCTTGGGAGATCAGCAAACTGGCTGCTCACTTCTGTGATGAAGGTGTGATGGGCCCCTGGGAAAGGCACCTGACTTACCTGCCAGTCTCCAGTTTACCATCTTGGAAGAGGATGGGATGTAGCTAGAAGGCCCTGTTTCTGTCCCTAGTGAAATGGTTTTGGTTTGGCTACTGAGGTATTCAAGGGGACCAGGGGTAGGAGACCCCCATCTTGCCTGACATCCAGGAGGAGCTGGGAGAGACTGAAAAATTAGGCTATAGATCCTTTTGATTATAGGATCCCAGGATAGGGTGGAGACATAGATGAGATCATGGTGACAACTGTCACCGAGATAGATGTGCACACAGGAGGGCTTAGAGTTGTGTGGTTCCATCCAGGCCCAAGACAAAACCCCATTTAGGTTTTAAAAAATGTATTATTTTTCAGATAATAGTCATATTTCCTCCAACACTTTATTAAGAAAAATTTCAAACTTAAAATTTGAAAGAATTATACAGTGAACACATATACCTACCTACTAGATGCACAATTCTTAATATTTTGCTAGATTTGCTTTATCGGGCATCTATTCATCTATCCATCCCTTTATCCATCTATTAAGACAGCTTATTTTTTGTAAGGTTTTCAAAGTAAATTACAAACATCAGTGCACTTCCCCTTAAAGGCATTTTAGCATGCATATCTTTAGCTTTAGTTTAATTAACTATAGTTCAATACTATTTGTTCGCAGTTCTTTTTCTTTTTTGTTTAGGAGGAGGAGGTAAAATTTACACACAGTGAAATACACAGATCTTAAAGATACCCTTGGCTGAGTTCAGATAAGTGCATACTGTACCTCAAACCCCAATCAGGAAATAGTGCATCACCATCTATACCGAAAGTTCCCTCACGTTTCTTCCTTGCCAATTCCTGTCCCCCACTCATGGGTATATCTCTATATCTATATAAATTAAATAATACTAATAAGCATTCTCTTGCCTTGTCCTTCTCTCTCTCAACCCTGTTCCCCAAAAGCAGCCATACTCAACTCTTTTAACTATTTCTTCTGGTACTTCTCTCCACATTTCTAAGTAGCATGCTTTTCCTGCCGGTTGCTTGATTAATTTTAGACAAATGTTGACCAACTTTCCAGTCTGATGTCTTCACAGTGTGGCTTCTGCAGCCTGACTGCCTGGGTTCGAATCCCAGCCCTTGCCTTGATTGACCATACGACCTTGGGCAAGTGACTTAAACTTCTTATGCCTCGGCTTCCTCATTTGTAAAATGAGAGTAAGAAGACATTTAAATTGTTGGATTGTTGTGAGGATTCAACATGTAAAGTGCCTGGAATAATGCACATTACCCAGTGAGTGGTCAAAACTTTAAAAAAAATTATTATTAGCAAGGAAGATTGAACTGTTCTCACCCTCCTCTCCTTTTAATCTACATTTATCACAATTTTCCATTAAATGAATATTCAGTATTATTTATATTACAACTATATCAGATTTGTTTCCTGCCAAGCCAAATGTTATGGTTACATTTCCTTTCTTATGAAACTTTTTTTCTGTTTCCTGGAATTACTACCGGCTTTGTTTTTCATTCCCTTAGTTTCCTCTTAACTCATCCTACTTCTCAGACATTTTAAATTTCCCCATAGTTACACATAGAGGATAATTTATTGGAAACAAACAAACAGTGGAACCAATTCTAAAAATAGATCTCAAGCACAAGTACAATTTGTAAGATAAGCATTTGTGAGCTCCCATGGTATGTCCCTGCCCATGTGGGTCTCCAAGGGGGATAAAACCTGAAGGTATGGCCCCTAATGCCGAGCCTGTCCATTTGCCACGGGAAACCCTCAGCATCATCTGCTCACTGGTGCCAACCTTTGGCCCATTCTGTGCCCTTTGCTTTATTCATCCATTAATTCAACAAAAGTCAGCTGGGTCCTTTTCCATGCCCTGCACTGTGCTGGCCAGTGCCAGGGACATAGAGCTTGGGCCATGTCAACCCACCCATCTCCCGGTTGGCATTTTTATTAACATGTTAGCAGCCAGGAGAGTGGTTTGAATTGAGGTGTGTGTGGGGTTAGGTGATGGCTGGTGTATGTGTATGTGACTGTAAGGGGCATGTGAGTGTGCGTTGGTGCTGACAGATTTTCGATGGAAGGCCTTTTGTTTACATCTATGTGCATTGCATAAGTTAATAGGTATTGTCTGCACAGTGTGTATTCCCTAGGCATGTGTATCAGTCTTTGCTTGTGTAACAAACCATACTTAACCCAGTGGCCTAAAACAACAACTTATTATTCTATGAAATGGCAATCTGGGCTCGGCTGGGCAGTTCTTTTGGTCTTACCTAGGCTCACTCACGTAGTTGTAGTCAGTGCAGCCCGGGTAGTCTTGGAGGGCCTCCCTCACATGTCTGGCAGTTGTCAGGCTGTTTGCTGGGGTGCTTCTGTTCATTTCGCAGAAGCTAGCCTAGGCTCATTCACATGGTAATCGTAAGGTTCCATGTTCAGCAAGAGAGGACCAGCTCCAATGCCTCTGCTTATGTCATGATCACTAATGTCCCAGACAGAGTAATATGGCTGAGTCAGATTCAAGAGAAATAGCCTCCGTCTCTTAGTCATATTGCAAAAGGGCAAGAGTATAGGCATAGAGAAATTATTGCAGCCGGTTTCCGAGTGACCACAGCCTGTGTGTGCCAGGAAAAGTATTGGGGAAAAGTCCCAGCTTTGAAATCAGAAA